AAAGTCTTGTGTTTGCTCTTCCCAACCTGGCACCCTCCTACTTTTCCAGTCTTTTTATACTTTACTTCCCTCCCACATTCCACCCTCCTGATACACTGACCCACTTACTGTTTCTTGGACATAACACTCTGTCTCCAGACTCCATGCCTTTACCCAGGCTGCCCCCATACCAGGAATGCCCAGGAATGATTGTTAGCTTTTCTGACTTTCTTCAAAGCTCAAATCCCACTCTCTGCTGGAGGCCTTTTTCCCCCCAGTCTAGAAACCTTTGCTTCTAAATTTCTTTTCCATTTACTCTCTTTGTATCCTATATGTTTCTGTGTGGGTACAGGTTGACTCCTCCGTTAGACTATGTGCTCCTTGAGAGCAGGGACTGTCATTTCTTTGCAGCCCCAGGACTTAGCACAATACTCTGGCACATAGTAGGTGCTTTACAAATGTTTGCTGACTGAGTGATATTCTGCGCTCTTTGTTTTGCAGTCCAGCCCCGACATTCTGTATTCTAGGATCTCAGACATCCTCTACTCTCCAGCCCTAACATGCTGTGTGGTTCTCTGCCTCTAACCCGTCCTCCTCACCCCACACTAGTACACTCTGGCTTCTCACCACTGACTCATTCGTGCTTTCAGAGATGTGTGTCACAGAGGGAGCGGGAGGTGTGAACAGTAAACAGGATGTCCCTTTTCTGTTCTGGAAGCCCTTTCTCTCCCTGCCTCTTCCCAGCACTAACCATTTACCAGGCTGGGATGGGCTGGGCTGGGCATCCACAAGAGAGGCTCCAGAACGTCAGATTCTCCAAGCTGAAAGGGACCTGGGAGGCTGCTGAGCCCAAACTAGACCTAAACAAGTATCTTCACTATTATATCCCAGAGAAATGGCCATCCAACCTTGGCATAAGGAAAGGTCCCCTCCCTCCCTCAGCCTCCAGAATCCAGGCTTTCCCCAAATGGGGGTGGAGGCAAGTTAACCAAGATTTTCAGACCGGAGAAAAAGGTTCCCAGGACCTGGCACTCTAGGTCCGTGGAGAAAGACATGGGACCTCTAGGACTGAAGGCTCGCACCCCGATGAAGCCAGGAGTCTCATGCCGTTCTACAGTCACAGAACATGAGACCTGGGAGGGATCTTAGAGATCACGGAGTCTAACCTCATTTTTTAATTTTAAATTTTTGTCTTATTTTTAGATCATCTTTACTTTCCAATGCGGCCTCCCTCCCCCACCCAGAATTCTCACACTCATGTAAGACGTGAACGTGTGGGGGTTGTCTAAATTTATACATGTGGCTTGCCAGTGACACGGCTTGTTGCGATTTGTCCTTCGTTCTCGAAGAGGACCGCAACATCAGCGAGGCGAGGCCATGACTGGCCAGTGAATTGGATTTAAGTGAGGAAGGGCTATCTATGCAAGGTCACCAGCCTCAGCCTCTCCTCCGGAGCCATCTTGATCCACTGGCCGGATCTAAATCAGGACAGCCGGAGATGGCCCGGGATGCAGTGGGAGATGGTCTTTTCTCAATGACGTGGGTAGATGTGATTTGAGGTCTGGCTCACCTTTGTAGGAAGTGGAAGGACCCAGCCTGCACCACGAGCCCACTCATGGTGGGGAAAGGACAGGCAAGGTCCGGGACCACCAAAATCCTTCTGGCTCCACAGAGGGGGTGGTACTAGAATACCAAACCAGATCAATCTGAAACCCTTCAAATATCCCTGGTTTAGGGGCATGATAGGCTCAGGATAGAGCACTGGGCCTGGAGTCAGGAAGATTCATCTTTGTGAGTTGAAATCTCGCCTCAGACACTTACTAGACGTTTGACCCTGAGCAAGCACTTTACCCTGTTTGCCTCAGTTTCCTCCTCTAAAAAAGGGACTGGAGAAAGAAATGGCAAACCACTCCAGTATTTCTGTCAAGAAAACCCCAGATGGGTGGACATAACTGAAATAGCTCAATCAAATTTGCTTTTGCCTAAAGACCTGAAAATAAAAATGCTAGTGGAACTGTAGTTTGGGCTCAGAAAACCGATTCCCTACATATTTGCGTGGGAATGGAGAGCTCACTTCTCCTCTTAACTTTGGACGTTCCTTGTGACTCAAACAATAATAGATGCCATCGAATTGACTTTGCTGAAATCGAAGTTCCACATGTAAGTGCCGTTTGGTCTTGCAATTTTAGGTCAAATTCCCTAAGAAGTATTATTAAGTATGTAGCAAAAGCTCATCTTCAAAGCCATTCAGCGTTTGGTTATAGTGGCTAAGAGCAGTTCTTCTCATTCAGAAAAATTTCAATCTTGGCCCTAAACTCAACAAATCATAATAAGTGTTTTTTCTCTTCTTTTCTGATGGGTATGCACTGATAAGATGTCATAGCAAAGTGATATGTGTGGCCCCTGAAACACTGTCAAATTGTAACTGCATGCCAATGATTTGTGGGGGGCCAAGTGGGGAGAGCTCTGGCTGCCTCTGGCTCCCTGCCCTGTCCCAGACACCCTGGGGGCAGAAGGCAGGGAGGGAGCAGGGAGGATGGGGGAGGGGGTCTCAGGAACTCATCCCCTCTTCCCTTCCTCTTCATTTCCCTGTTTCTGTCCACATCCTTCCCATCCTCAGTCCTTCTGGACTTTCTCCTTTCCTGCCAAGTCCTCTTTCTACTTCCCCTATTGACTCCATTCTTCCCAATCTAACCCCCAATGCAGCTGCTGAAATAAGACTTTTTTGAACCGATGCAAAAGGAAAAAGGCAATACCAGGAAAACAGGATACGCAAGGACCAAAATAATGTAAGTGGATTCAACACATAAAGGCAGCCAGATTTAGTTGCCACGACCCATCTTGGTTGCCAGGAACCTACTTGCCTCTTCGTGGCAAAGGTAGGGGACTGTGGTTGCAGAGTGCTACATTTCCTGTCCTATCTCATCACTTTGCAGGGGCAAAAGCTTAACTGTCTTGCTTTGATACAAGAGAGGATTCGAGGGAATGGAAGCTCCCAGAGGGCAGGGATTGTTCTCCTTTCCTCTCCAGCATCTGCCTGATACCTGACATGCTGGGGATAGTTACTAAGTGTTTGTTAAATGTGAAAACAAGCAAACAAGGGTTAGAGTTCAGTGGAAAGGATATGATGAGAAGTGAGTGCAGTAACATAGGAATCAAAGGACATCGATAAAACTCTTTAAACAAATTCTTAAGCCACAAGTCTGAGCATGTCCCTCTCCTACTTCAGAGAGAAATCCCCAGGACGCGGTGCTCTGACCTCGCTTGAGCACCACCAGGGAAGGAGATCTCCCACCTCTTGAGGCAGTCCCTTCCATTCTGGGACAGCTCTGATGCCTCACTTTACCTCTCTGTAACTCCCCTCCATTGTGCCTGCTCCTGTGCTTAGGGCAAGCACAGAAGCTTTTTTCTTTTCCCCATGAAGATCTTTCCAGTACCTGAATTCTGTTCAACAAACACGGGCAAAGACGAGATTGGAGCCAGATTGTGGTGGGCTAGAGAGGAGGGGCTGAGGAGGGTATGCTCTGTCCTGGAGGCAGTGGGTTTGGAGGGAAAGTCTTTGAGTGAGGAGGGAGTCACGTGGGCACACATGTTTTAGAAATATCACTTTGGTCACTGTGAGGAGAAAGGAGTACAGACAAGGAGGGATAGAGATGAGGAGGCCGTCCGAGGGGAACTCAAGAGAGGAGATGAAGGTCTGAATTAAGATGGTAGCTGCCTGAGTGGAGAGAAAGGGATGGATGCAAGACATGTTTCGAAGGGACGATTGACAAGATTTGGCGACCAAGTGGGAAGGACCTAATGGCAGGGATGGCAGAGGTGGACCCATTGAGGTGGAGGGCCACGATGGAGGGGAACAGGAGGAATACTTTCTCCTCTACTCCTTTAATTCTAAAGCACACAGGTCAAGTAAGTAGGAGCTGGGGATGGGCCTACCTTAGGATGGGGAAAGAGCAGTTGGGACATGGGGGTGTCCTGTGGAGCTGGAGACCAGAGTTAGGAGAGGTCCTTGTGACCTCTGACTCTCAGAGGACCAGGATCTCTTAGAATTTAGAGATTATGGCAGGGAGAATGAGAACTGAAAATGACATTGAACCTGGGTGCCTGGGAGGTTGGTGGGGCCTTTGGCAGAAATAAGGATGCTCTGAAGGGAGCTGGGGTTAGCAGGGATGATGATGAGTTCTATTCTGGACATGTTGAGTTTGAGATGCCCTTTGGAACATCCAATCTGAGATGTCCAAGAGGCAATTAGTGCTATGGGACTGGGGCTCAGAAGAGAGGCTGGAGCTGGATATATGGATCTAGTGATCATTGAGAAAGAAGGTAGAGAGAGAAGAAAAGAACGCCCCAGACAAAACTTGGGGACACCCAAAACAGAGGGCCCCGCAGTGCCTCATATGCCCCCAGGCTGGGGATCTCGGGTGGTTGGGAGTTCCCCTTGGAGAAGGGGCCATTCCCTTCAATCCTGTCTACCTCTCCTATGGCTTAAAGCTGAGGCCCTCCTCCTTCCCAGGTGCTCTCCTCTGGAGAACCGATCACAGTAAGTGACCAGATGTGGCCTGACCAGAGCAGAGGACAGTGGAACAACATGGCTCTCATGGCATCACTTTCTTGGCAGCAGCAATGCCCCTCTCACTGGGCTTGCTGGCCACTAAAACCCACTGGACTTTTGCAGGAAAAAAGCTGCCCAGCCATCCCTACCCAATAGGGACTTTTCCCAAGGCATAATGGGAATCTTCCCAGTTCACACTGCAAAAGCCAGCTAATGTCCCTGCCCTGATATTCACCCAACCCCATCCAACCCCCAAGAGGCTATGGTTCCAGCTGCCTCTGCTTCTCACCCCCTCAACTTTCCATGTCGCTCAGGAACCGAGGGGAAGGAGACTGGACCCTTCTGCTCAGGAACTGAGAGCTCTCACACCTGCCCCTGTGTTTCCCCCTCCCTGTTTCCTTTCTGGTAGGGCCTATGAGTGCCTTCCCTGCCCACTGTTGAGGTTGGTGGCTGGTTTCCTGGCCCCACTCATCAATCTTCCTGCTCTCGCTTCACTTCTCAGATAGCTCACTGGCTTCGGGATGCTCCCCACTGAGTTCTCCTGCCTCCTGGGGCTGCTGGCCATGGCGGGCCTTGCCTGGAACCCCTACCCCGCACTGGAGCAGGTGAGCCCCCATGAAGTCAGCACCCAGTTTTCTCCTTCTAGTGCATCCCAATTCAGATTCTGCTACCTGTCCATACCAGTCTACAGATTTCTCCCTGGTGCCTGGTCCTGGGGTCCTTTGGCCCTTCCCTTCAGTCTCACCTCAGCATTCCGGTGTCCCTCACAGCCTGTGCCACACCCCTCTGCCCCCAGATCCAGTCCTACCACTCGGAGTGCCTTGCTCTCCTAACTTCCTGCCTCCCACCTCTTTCCCCGGGTCCTCCACCAACGGCAGGAACAACATTGAGAAGACTTTGGGGATAATGATGCATTCGTTGTAAGGGAGGTTAAGAAGCCCTGGATGAGGGTTGCTAGGCCTGGGCCATATCCCTGGCTCTGCCACTGCCTAGCTATGAAAGTCACTTTCTCGTTTTGTGCCTTGGTTGCTCCATATCCACAATGAGACTAAGGCCCTTTGCTGGTCTCTGAAGGCTCAGCCCACATGGGCACCCAGCTCTCCAAGCCCAGCCCCTCTCCAGGGGCAGGCAGTGGGGTCTCCCTCCACACCCACCACCCCTGCCCTGCCCCCAGAGCTTCCATGACCTGCCGCCAGTCACCTGGGACCCTGTGGAGCAATTCAAGGCCTTTCAGATCCAGTATAACAAGAGCTACCCGGATGCAGCAGGTGGGACTTCTTGTATTCCTTCATGTCTGTGCACACACACGTATACCACAGGCACAAACCAAGGGTGGGTATCCTGAAGGGACACGTGTGTGCATTTGCATGTGTGGCACATGTCTGCACATGAGTGTGGGTATACAGACGTCTTCATGTGTGTGCTATGGCATGGGGGCTTCTCCGGAGCTGTCAGCTTCTCATTGACTTTGCCTCCTCTAGCACTGGCCAGGAAGCCTGGAGAACCGCATCTCCTTGGCTTTAGTTTTCCTATTTGTAAGATAAGGGTTTAGACGAGGACGTGGTTTCTAAGTTGCCTCCCAGTGCTGACGTTCTGTGTTCTATGTTCTAACCTAAGGTCCCTCCCACCTCTGACATTCTGTGTTCTACGTTCTAACCTAAAGTCCCTCCCAGCTCTGACATTCTGTGTTCTCACATGTTCGATGTTCTATGTTCTAAGTCCCCGTCTCCCCAGTTGACATTTTGTGTTCCACGTTCTAGGATCCCTCCCAGCTCTAACACCCTAAGTTTCATGTTCAGAGGTTCTGTATCGCTTCCCGTTTTCTCTAGCACAGAACCTCTTGCTCTAAGCCCTCCCCCCTCCACAAACCCTCAGAAATGAGTGGGAAGAGCGGGGTTGGTTGTGTGAACAATAAAGAGGAAGGTTCCTCTCTGTGTGCCCCCCATCCCACCCCCCTCCCCTCAACCTGCCCGTGATCAGTGGCCACTTACCTGATCTGAGGTCCACAAACCCCACACCCCTGGAGTCAGCAGGGATGACTTCTCCCACTCCAAGTGTGTGTGAGTGTGTGTGTGTGAGTGTGTGTGTGTGTGTGTGTATCATCATTGGAATTTCCATAGCTCTATTAGGGAAGGTCTTTAGTGACCTGGGCCCCCTTGCAGGTAGCAAACCAAATCTTACCAGAATGACCATTATGCGAATATGACCTCACCATTTTACAGATGAGCAAACTGAGGGTCAGAGAAGTGATGCCCTTCCATTCCCATACTGCAGGAGCAGACCAGACAGGGAGGGGGTCTGATGGGAGAGATGAGAGCTATGGAGGGGCTATGACCCCCCTCACTTGGGAGGCGGTGAGAGGAAATGTGGGTGGGCCTGTAGGGACAGTGGTTCAGTGACCTTGGAGGGGGAGACATGTGATGGCATCCCCCATGGGAAAGGATGCAGAAGCTCCTGGCTAGGGGCAGAGGGAGATCCAATGCCTCTTCCTACCCAGTTGTCCTTCAAAATCCCCTCTGCAGAACAACAGCGGCGCTTAGAGATCTTTGCTGACAACCTGGCCTGGGCCCGGCAGCTGACGAAGGAGCACAGGGGTGTGGCCCAGTTCGGGGTGACCCAGTTCAGCGACCTCACAGGTAAGGGTGCCTCAATCAGAACCAAACTGAAGAATCACCTCTGAGGGTCGGGCCCTGGGGGCTGGCCAGCCAGAGGCTCCAAGGTATGGAGCTGGAAAGTGCCTAAAGGACGTCTGGGCCAACCCTCTGCCCCATTTTATAGATAAGAAAACCAAGGCTTGGAGAGGGTTAAGTGACTTGCCCATCGTCACATAGGCCATAAATGCCAGAGCAGAAATTTGGACCAAGGTTTTCCTGACTCTAAGTCCAACACTATGACTTCCTATCGTCCCTCATATCAAGTTTTTCAATTTAAAGTTTTATAACTGAGGAAACCGAGGCCCAGAGATGGGAAAGAACTTGTCTAGGAACACCCAGGTTGGGACAGCAGGGTGGTGCAGGCCTGGAGTCAGGAAGATCTGGGTTCAGATCTGACCTCAGACACTTATTAGCTGTGTGACCCTGGGCCAGTCACTTAATCCTGCTTGCCTCAGTTTCCTCATCTATCAAATGAGCTTCAGAAGGAAATGACAAACCACTCCAGTCCCTCTGCCAAGAAAACTCAAATGGGGGTAACGGAGAGTCAGACATGACTGAACCACCACCATCACCACCCAGGGGAGTAGAGGCAAAGCTAGGGGTAGAAACCAAAGATCCTCTCTTCCCATCTGGATCTCCCTCCTTCCTTTCTTCCTCTCTCTATCCCAAGCTCTGACCTCAACACATCTAGGCAGAGTGTTTCACTTGGCCAAGCCTCCTCCTCCTCCTCATTACAAACAAGCTCCTTGTCTAGACGCAAGACAAGAAGGATGAAACAGGAATCAGCCTGCTATATAGCCCTATATAGCCGTGCTCACAGCCCAACCAAGCAAGTATTGCTAAAGGCTGCCTGACAAATTTTGATTAGGTCTTGGTCCCAAGCTATATTTTGCTTCCTTTGAGAAACCCAACTGTCTCAATTCTGCAATGATTTTATGTGTGCAGAAAACAGTGGAAAGAATGGTGAACTTGGAATCATTACTTCCCCTCCATGGATCTCAATTTTCTCATCTGTAAAATGGAAGGATTAAACTGGATGCTTCTAGATTTATGAGTCCATAAGTGGGTCTACCACTAAGTGAACTATGGCTTCAGGTGGTGCCTCCTCCCCTGAGTACCAGTTTATGTAAAATTAGAAACAAAGTGATCCCCAAGAGCTAACATTGTGACTAGAAATGGAAAAGGATGGTGTATGAGGTCAGGGTCTTCGGGTCTATGGTCACCGAGGCCCTCATTTGTCTGCGCAGAGAAGGAATTTCGCCAGCTTTACCAACCATCCCAGCCCAGCTTCTCAGATCCCAGGCTGAAGATGGGAGGGCACCCAAAATTACAGAGGCCGCAGACTCGTTCCTGTGACTGGAGGAAGGCGGGAGTCCTGAGCCCCGTGAGACATCAGGTACTGGCTCCTGCCCCAACCACCAGCTTCATTTCACCCCTACCATCCCAGCTAACTTGTGTCCCCCACCCATCCCCAACCAGACCATCTTACTAACCCTAATTCTTGAACCAAGATACCCCCTAGCCCTTCCCCTGACACCCTCAAAGGAGCAGGTGCCTCTCACCAAAAGCTCTCCTCTTCTTCTGTCTGGGATGGATAGAAGGATGCAGAGAGTAGGGAGAGGGAAGCCAGCTAGGGCAAAAACCGACCTCTCCCTGTAGAAAAACTGCAAAAGCTGTTGGGCCATTTCCGCCGTGGGCAATGTTGAGGCCTTGTGGGCCATCAGGTACCAGAAGAATTTTGAGCTCTCTGTGCAAGGTATGGGGGGCTGCCACTTGGGCGTGGGGGCATCCATGGGGATGGGGTCTCCCGGGGAGGACCGCCCCCCGTGGCATCAGTGTAAGATGAGTGGGCATGTTGAAGCCTGTGTAGAGCCATCCATACAGGCTCCCAGTAACCCTGGCTTTCCCCCAAGATTCTGTCCTGGGCTCCCTTCTTTTCCTTCTGTGCTGTCTCGCATGGTGACCACATCAGCTCCATCACTGCCACGCAGATGGTTCCCAGATCTTTGTAATCTGTTCAAATCTCTCCCGGTCTCCATCACCAATTTCCTGCTTGGCATTCCCAACTGGATGTCCTTTAAGCATCTTCAACATCTCACACAGAACTCATCTTCTCTCCAAGATGCACTCCTCCTCCAGCCTCCCCCTTTATTATTGCCACCCTTCCACTCACCCAGATTTGCAGCCTCAGAAACATCCTCGACTTCTCCCTCTCCCTCATTCACCATATCTACTAAGTTGCCAAGTCTTGGCTATTCTAGTTGACAAATTACTAAGCACCTACTGGGTGCCCATGCTCAGAAGCTTACATTCTACTGGGGGGAGGGGGAGAGAAGAAATATATTATGTCCATAGGTAATTAAATACAGGATATATGCAAAGATGTCCAATGTGATGAGGAAAGAGGCCCCTGAGGGGAGACAGAGTTTCCAAGAACTAGGGTTGAGGACATATGGGGCACAGCCCATGCAAAGGCACAAAGGTGGGAGATTTAATCTTGTCTCCTTTCTCAAATTATCATGAATATCTGTGTGTTCAATATGTCCCTCCAGCAGCTCGTGGAGGGCAGGGACTATTTCGTCTTTGTATTTCTGTGTGTACCGCATAGTAAGTGCTTAAGTGCTTTTTGCATTGGAACAGGGATAAGGGAAAGAGGGCTGGGCCTGGATTTGGGAAATCTCAGTTTGGATCCTGGACCTTAGCAGGTCATGCAACTTCTCCTCACCCACAATATGACAGTCTTCGCTCTCACCACCTGCCACAGGAGGCTGTCCTGAGCAGCCCCTGCAAACTGTAGAAGGCTGTGGAAATCGAGACTCTGACAATCTGAGAGGAGGCCCAGGGCAACCCATCGTGGCCTCCAGGGAAACCCTGAAAGCTCCCAAGTCAAGCTCCAGCCCCTTCCTCTTACTAATGAGGTAACCAGACCTGGAGAGGTCACACAGGCAGGAAGTAGTACTGGGAGCACTGGAACGCAATTCCTGTGCTGCACCAGCCCGTGGGTACCTTGGCCAGTGGGGGAAAACGTGCCCCTGGTTCAGTACCTTGAGCTGAGTGGGGATCTCTGAAGCCTGCCTGGTCCTTGGTGAAGCGAGATCCTCAGCAAGCCCAGGCTTTGGGTGTCCACACAGACAGTGAGATGGGGGGGTATATGTGTGTAATTGAGGCACCTTCTCCCCACAGAGGTGCTGGACTGTCAGCGCTGTGGACGAGGCTGTGAGGGCGGCTACGTTTGGGACGCCTTCATAACTATCCTCAACCAAAGTATGTGCACCCCCCAATCCTGGGGGCCCAACGCTCCATCCCCCTGGGACAGAGGCCTGGACCCAGGAAAGGATTCCAGGGGTCTGGCTCTGGCATGATGTGGGAGCCTTAGGGGTGTGGGGAGGGGGTCACGGGTGGGGGCCTAAGTCTCCTCCCTCCCAACTAGGCGGCCTGGCCAAGGAGAAGGATTACCCCTACATAGACCAGCTGTCCCACAAAGGCTGCCAAGAGAAAAAGAAACAGGCCTGGATCCACGACTTCTTAATGCTGCCCAAGAAGGAGAATTGTGGGTCAAGAAGCCGGTCAAGGCCAGGACACACAAAAGGGCTGGCCCCCATTGCCACTGGGAAGCGCTGGAGGGTTGCTCAGTGACCTTGTGTCTGCCCCTTCCCGTTGAGGCTCAGCGCCCACCTATACAGCGGAGATAATCCCTCCCTACTTTGCAAAAGTGCATTCTTACCCTGTTCTATGCACCAGGTAGACAGGTGGTCCCCAGACCTGGTAGGCTTCAGCAGAATCAGCTGCTCCCTGTGGTCTGGGGGCCAGCCCCCTGCAGCAGATCCTCACTTGTGAAAGCATTTGGTGGCTAGTGGGTGTGAGGGGTGTCGGCCTGGAGCCCTAGCTAGCCTCATAACCATGGGAGGGGAAAAGCGGGGAATGTAACTCAGGGTGGGGCTTTGGGGGGCTCCAGAAACCTCAGAGCCAAGGGCTGGGGCAGGTCTAAAATCCACTGTGACCTTGGACACCCCTTCCCCTTCTGCAGAAATGAGGGTCTGTCGACAGGCTCTGCTCCCCCCCCCCCATTCTTGGAGGCTAACACCTGCCTTTCCCACAGACATGGCTCAGTATTTGGCAGAAAAGGGACCCATCACTGTGAACATCAATTCGAGACTCTTACAGGTGAGGACGGGCAGGGCGGGGAAGGGCTGCCCTGAGGCTGGCGACTGGACCCTGGCCCCAGTGGCTCACAGACTCTCCTCCCTCTCCCACAGAACTACAAAAAGGGGGTGATCAGACCGTGGGTCAATTGTGACTCCAAGTACTTGGACCACTACGTGCTGCTAGTGGGCTTCGGCCAGAGTGAGTGTTTGGGGGAGACCTGGGGCGGCTTTGGTCTTAGCTTAGGGTGTCCCCCAGCACTCTGGTTTCTAATCTTCCTCGCAGTCCACAACTTTACCTACTGGATCCTAAAAAACTCCTGGGGCAGCAGCTGGGGAGAAAAGGTGAGGCTGGAAGGGGAGAAGGGGGAGGGGGCAGCAAAGGGCGGCCGGGCCTGGCTCCTCCTCCTCCCAACCTTCAGCTCCACCCCCACCCCATCCCCACCAGGGCTATTTCCGGCTGCATCGAGGGAGCAACGCTTGCGGCATCAACAAGTACCCAATCACTGCTCTGCTGGAAGGCTCCGCCCCCAGGATGCGCTGCCCCCGCTAACGACTCCCGCCCCGGCCCCCAGGATGCTCAGTACTTACAGAGCGTCCTGTGCTTGAGCGCCCAATAAAGCTGCTGCTCCACAGTCTCCAAAGTGAACTGGCTAATGGAGGGGGGGGGTGTCTCATTGAGCAACAAGGGAACTTAGAACGTGGGAGAACGTGAGAACCGGAAAGAGCCTTGGAAGAGTCCATCAGGGGACCTCCACGCTTGCCATAGAGGATCTGGCGGAAGGCCCCCCGAGGAGGGCTCTATCATTTCTGTAGGGGTCAGCCCGAATGGTTAGGAATAGATGGGGGCTGAATACAAAGAGAGGAGAGAGGGGAGAGAGAGAGAGAGAGAGAGAGAGAGAGACGGGGGGAGAGGAGAGAGGGAGACAGAGAGGAGAGGGAGAGGAGGCGGGGAGAGAGAGAGGGGAGTGTGTGTGTGTGTGGGGGGGTCATCTCCCTATCTCTGGAAGTCCAATGCACGCCAAGTCTGGCCACACACTCTACTGCTGACTCTCGTTGAGCTTGCAGTCCATTAAGACCCCAAGCTGTTCTTTAGAACAAAGGATTCTCTGCCCTCCAACGCGTGACTCCTCCATCTCGAGCTTGTGAAGCTGATTTGTTGTGCCCTCGTGTAGTCACACACGGGCAGTTTGGTGGCACAGTGTGCCAAGTGCTGGGCCTCGAGTCAAGGAGACCTGGGTTCAAATTTGACCACACACATGTACTGGCTGTGTGACCTTGGACAAGTCCCTTGACCTGTTTACCTCAGTTTCTGCATCTGAAAAAATGGAGATAATCTAGCACCTAGCTCTGAGCATCCAACGAGATAATGACTGCACAGCACACAGCACACTGTAAGCACCGGAGAAACGGGAGCTGCCTCAGTGAGAGGAAAGTGAAAGCTTTCCTCGAGGGCTCAGGCTGGTCAGGAGCCTCTCGAACCCTCTCCTGGCAGTGTTTGTTCTCAGCTCCGACCTTCATCAAGCCCCGGCCCAGATCCCCGAGGCCCTCCCCTGGAGACCTCCTAGTCCAGCCCAGTCCTGAGACCACGTGACTCCATCCGGGTCTCTCCCAGCCATTCTTCACCTGGGGTCCATGGATAGTTTTCAGGGGAGGGAGGCACGTCTCTGACTCAGATGGCAAAAACCCATTTTCACCAACCTCTAACTGAAATGCAGCATTTCCTTCCATTACGGACTTGAAAGACAGAAGCCAGGCTCTGAGAAGGGGCCCCGGAGTCTCCCCAGCCCCGCTGCGGGGACCACCACACACAATGAGGCAAAGAACCCCTGCTCCTCCCAGTCTCCCCGCCCCCAGGCTTCACAAAGAGCTTTGCTGATGGTTCGGTGAGCTCAGCCTCGCTCCCACTGGACAGATGAGGCGGCCTCAACTCAGATCATCGGGGCAGCCAGGGGGCGCCACGGTGCACAGAGCACCAGGCCTGGAGTCAGGAGGACCCGAATGCAAATCCAGCTCAGACACTTCCTAGCTCTGTGACCCCGGGCAAATCACTTCACTCGCCTGCCTCGGTTTCCTCATCTGTAAAATGAGCTGGAAAGGAAATGGCAGACCAGTCCAGTATCTCTGCGACACGGCTGAAACAACCAAACAACTTAGAACGAAGGCGCACCAGACCTGGGGCCGGGGGTTGGGAGAACCTTGACCCCAGAACAGCAGGACCCAACACAGAGCTCAAAGGGCCTCCGAGGCAATTTCATTGGGGAGGAGTGGGGGCCTCAGGCACTCTCAATCCTGCCCCATCCCTGCCCCCTCTGGATGCTACCACTCCTCCCACGATCCTGTTTCAGGCCCAAGAATCACCCACGGTCAGATTCCCCAGAGTCAGGGCTCACCCCAGGTCTGCCAATTTATTGTCAGCACAAAGAGGGGCTTTGGCCACAGGAGCCAGGGAGCTGGTGAACCTTGGGGTCAGGGGCTAAGCTCCTGTCCCTGGGCCTCGGTGCCCCGATCCTGCAGGAGGGGCCCCAATTGGGGGCTCTGGGAGCAGGTATCCTGGGCCTGGGCTCCCACCTGCCAACAGGGGAGATGGTGGGCTGAGCTGCCCTCTCTGGGCCCTGGTTCGCCCTCCACTCCCTCCCATTCGCAGGGCAGGGCCGGCCCAGGGCTCCTCAGTCATGATACATCCGCAGGAGGCAGCTTCGAAGGGTGACCATGTAACGATCCCAGAGGGCCTGGTGCCTGGCAGTGGAGAGAGGAGTCACTGGAGAGGGCTCAGTCCTGGCAGCCCGGGGCCTAAGACACAGGGCCTGCCATGCAGCTGCCGCTGGGGCTGAGGGTGGGGGGAGTGGGGCAGGGGCCCTCACCGAAAGCCATCCAGGGAGTGGACTGATGCTGAATACTGGTTCAGGAAGAGCCGGACGTCATTCAGTAGCCAGCGGTCGGAGCGGCATGGTTCTATAAACTTTGGGGAGACAGGAGAGCCCAGCTTTACTCCCCCCTCCCCGACCCAATCCTTTCAGCCACAGGAAGTCACAGTTGACAGACAGGATGGGATGAGAGGAGGAGGCAAAGGGGAGCACCATGGGATAGTGAAGGGCAGGTGGGGGCAGTCCCAGGACAGGGGGGGATCCCCACCTTCTCGACGAGGTCCACAAACAGGTCCCGCACGTCCTTGGTGTGGGTTAGCTTGGAGGCGATGTTGACCAGCCCTCGGGACAGGTTCTGTGGGGCCAGGAAGCCAGGGGTCCTCAAGTCTGTCCCTCTCAACCCAGGGACTCCAGAACCCCAGAGCAGAGGGAACCCCCCCCCTTCTACAGGCACCACCCCGGGCCTGTCAGGATCAGCAGCAGCATCTCCCACAGTCACTACAAGAAACCAAGATGTGTACAGCCAAGCTGGGGATGGCAGATGGAGGATTTGGCAAGAGCCCTGGCCTGGGGCGTCAGGAGCCTGGGCCCTGGTCCTGACCCTGAGGAAGGTGCTCCCCTCTCTGGGCCTTAAAGAGACAGCAGGGTGGGGGGCAGGGGCTCTCAGCCCTTCCAGAGGGCTCAGGATCCCTTGTGGTCTGCAGCCCAGAGGGGACGGACCTTGAAGTTGGCTTCCATCTCTGGAAAGATGCTAAGTTTCCCTCGGAGAGCAGTACACACCAAGCTGTGAAGAGGAAGGAAGTGGTCAATGCTGGGCCCTGACTCCTCTCCCTCCCGGGGCCCAGGCCCAGGCCCAGGCCTTGACTCGTGTCCCTCCCTGGGCCCTGACTCCTCTCCCTCCCGGGGCCCAGGCCCAGGCCCAGGCCTTGACTCGTGTCCCTCCCTGGGCCCTGACTCCTCTTCCTCTCCGGGCCCGGGCCCTGACTCCTCTCCCTCCCTGCTCTCTCCCCAGCCACCTCTTGTGCAGATCAAGAAGGTCCTTATCGGCCACCAGCACTTTGAGCTCCTTCAGGTCCTGCAGAAATTCCTTGTCCAGGTCCACGTCCATGTCGTCCACCTGCGAGTCTGCAGAGGGGTCCCCAGAGAGCAGGGAGGGCTGGGTGAGGCCTGGGCACTGGCTACAGAGCCTGGAGCGGGGGGGGGGGGGGGGGCCGCCGGCAGAAAAGGCAGCCTGGCTGGCTGGGAAGCCCTCGCCTGGGAGGCTTGAGCATTTACAGGCTGGGGAGGGCCTGGGTTCAAACCTGCCTCAGACAGTGACCAGCAGTGTGACCTTGGGCTATCCCTTAACTGGGCCTCTCAGAAAATGAGATTAGACATGAAAGTCCAAGGGTCCCCTCCAGCTCTGAATCAGTGATTCCGTGACTCAGTTTCCCTCCAGGGAAGGATGGGACTAAAGTCTGGAAGATCTCTATGCTTGGCTGTTCCTGCTCCAGGTCTAAGGGTCCCTCCCCACATTAGTCTGCGCCCATCTGAGCCCTGGGAGAGGAAGAACAGGTGGAACCCAGAGCCAGGTGCCTATTTTTGGGGGAGTGAATGTGTGTGGAGTGAGTTAGGGCATCCGAAACTTCCAGACCCAGAACTTTCTTTGGGTGGGGGTGGTCACCCTGCTCACCCATAGTAGGGATGGGAGGGGGGCTACTCACCCAGAGAAGGGGAGGGGAAAGGGGGGGCCTGCTCACCCACCGCAGGGGTGGGGGGGGGGCTGCTCACCCACAGCGCCAGGTGTCCAGTTCTGAATCATCAGCTCGGCACAGAAGGCCAAGTCTCCAAAAGTCAGATACTGCAGCTTTTTCTTTCCCGTCTCAAAGCGGTTGTTAGCGAAGAAGACCACAGCAGCATAGTCCCTGGGGGGAGCCCGAGTGCTTAGCCAGACTTCAGACCCCCAGGGCCAAGTCCTCCCGGCCCCCCAGGCCCCTCACCTGGCCAGCCGGTCAGAAAGGAGGAAATGCTGCTGAATGTTGCCGGCCAGGGAGCCCCGCATCTCCTCTACCACCTTGAAGACTCTCTTAAAGTTGTCAAACTGTGGGGCAAAAGAGGCAGCTGGGGTGGGAGGCGTGGGAGGCCTGGCACCTTCGCCCCAAGGGAGTTCCAAGAAAAGAAGTTGTTAGAGTCTGAGGTGGGACAGCACCAGGGCTGAGAGCTAGTGGAGGCCCTGGACACTCACAGCTCCGCACTGCCTCGATTTCCCCTTCATTGGCAGTGAGGTCGACCTTTTCATTTTTGAGGTGGGTCATGCAGTTTTCTTTTTTTTTAAATCAAATCAGTCAATGGTTTATCTATTTTGTTTTCGTCATAATAGCAGCTACGAGGTTTTTTTTAAAATTAATAATTAGTTCAATGGTTTTCTTACTTTGAATTTTATTCATCTCTCCTTTGGTGTTCAGGATGTCCAAACTGGTGCATAACTGGGGATTTTTATTTGTTCTTTTTCTAGTTTGCGTGTTTTTTAGCTGCGTGCCCGATTTGCTGATGTGCTCATTTAGACATAGAAGTTTCCCCCTAAGTGCTGCTCCAGCTGCACCCCCAGATTTAGTATGCTGTCTCAGGTAACTCATAGCAATGGCAAACGCAGAGCTGTCTTCAAGGATATGAGGGGCGTCCAAGAGGGAAAGGGATGAGTCTTGGGGAGCAGGCCCAGGGGCCTTGAAAGGGACCCTTGAATGGACCCCTCGATGTGGTCCCAAGGGAGGATGGGCTGCCCTCAGGAAGACCTCGATAGGTACTTCCTTGGGAGGTTGGGGAGGGAAGAGAGAACCCTTATTCCAGTTGGGGTCAGAGTACTTTGCCTCCGAGGTCTCTTCCAATTCTGATATCCTATGGTTCTGGGCCGGAAAGACCTGGGTTTAAATGCTGCCTCAGGCACTGTTGTCACCTTAGTCAGCCTCAGTTTACCCATCTGTAAAATGGGGATAATAATAGCACCTACCGATTACATGAGATAACCACCACAAAATGTCCTTGAAGGCTGATGTGTGACCCTGAAGGTAAGGTCTGGTAATTCCCAGAAATGGAGGCAAAGCTCAGAGAAAGGAAGAATCCCATCCGTGGGGGTGGAGGGCGGGGGTGGGGTAGGGGACAGTGCATTCCTGAAGTTGCACCAAAGAAGGATCATTTAGGGCAGGATAACCACATCATATTCAGCAGACACAGCTGGGACAACATTCCAGAGGCACCCTGGTCAGAAGAGGCTGAAAGGGGCTCTGGGATCATTTTATCTTTTCTCCCAACAAGCATTTATTAAGTGCCTACTGTATGTCAGGCAGTGGGCTTAGTGCTTTACAAATATCTCATCTGAATCTCACGACCCTGAAAAGAAAGTGCTGTCATTTTAGAGATGGGGAAACTGAGGCAGACCCAGAGTGCCCTGGATCACAAGGCTAGCAAGTGTCTGAGACCAGATTTGAACTCAGGGTTTCCTGACTCCAGGCCCAGCATTCTGTGTGCCTCTATAGAGGAAACTGAGGCCCACGGAAGGAAAGGGATCTGTCTGAAGTCACCCAGTGAATCAGTGGTAGGGCAGGAACTAGAAGCCAGGCCCCTGGCCTCCCCATCCGGTGCAGGAGCTGCTCTCTCTGTAATCCCAGCAGTAACGAGGACTTCAGTGGCCTTGGACAAGCTCAGCTGGGCTGGGGGTGGGAAGTGGAGGGGCTGCCTCTTATAGGTGGGAGAGGCCTAACTCAGGGCCCCAGGAAAGGGCAGCGCTGTCCGGAGGATGGATGCAGGGAAGAAACACACCACCTGGACGCGGCACCCTGGGACAAAGCCCCCCTCTCTCTCTGTCCTAGTTCTAGCTCCAGCTGGAAGCTAAGCTGGGAAAGGGGGGTTCAGACCAGGAGGTGAAGGGATCTGAGTGCCCGATGTCCAAGGCAGGTACTGGGGAGCCACGAAGGGTCCTGAGCAGATTACAGGGACAGTGTGGGTACGACACAGGATGGGTGTAGGAGGAAGGTGAGCAGATTCAGGGTGGTGGCCCCCGCTAGGTGGGAGGCTGCTTGAAACGTCCCAAGGAGGAGATAAGGAGAGGCCACCAGGGCAAAGAACAAGGGACCGTGGGGGCGTCCCAGGGCCAGAACATGGAGTTGCAGGGAGGAAGGGGCAGAGCCCAGACAGCCCTGACCTGTCTCCTGCAGCTCTTGAGGGTCACTCCCGTCTTGGTGCTGATGTCATCCAAATCCTTCTTGGTGCCCTTGGACAGCTTCTTTCCAAGCACCTCCCGGACAAAGGCCTCATCAAAGGTGTAGTACCTGCAGGGAGGAAGGGGGGACAGACCTTGGAGGAACAGGACGGGCAGGGTCTGGGGCCTGGATGGAGGAGGGGAGAAACAAAAGGGAAGAGGAAGGGGCTTCTGACCACAGGAGAAAGACGCTGACAGTGGACGGGGCTAGTTGTAGGGGGAAGGCCCTAACTCTATGGAGAGATGAGGGATGTCCTGCCAAGAGGAGGAGGAGGAGGAGGGTCTCGGATGGCCAGGTGTTAAAGCTATGGGAGGGGGCAGGGCAGAGCAGGGTGGGGGTGGGGGGGGAA